TTAGTGTCCCCTGCACTTGTTATGGGTGGGCTTGGGGTCTGAGATTGCATTTTTCTCCTTCTCATTGTCATTTTGTGTAGCACTGTCTTCTGACCTTTGTTTTAGGGCTTTGGTGCAGTTATAACCTTAGCACCTACTGAAGTTCAGTTGCGGATCTACAAAGTTTGTAATTATCCAGCTGTGCCTGGCTTGGGTCTTGCTTTTGTGCTCAGCTCCTTCCTGCTGCCACTCTTGGGAGTGAACCTGTTGTGCCCCTCTAGCAAGGTGTTCTGCTCCTGGACTAGCTGGGTGGTTCTGTCCCCTACTATCTCTGCAGGGATTGCAGCTGCAGGGTTTCACCCCAGGCCTGTATGCCAGGCCTGAGCTGAGTCTGGAGGGGACAAGATGGAGTAGCAGGGACAGGAAGCTCTCCCACTCACTCACCGGGCCTGGGCTAGAACTGGATCTGGGGGTCCCCAGAACGCGGCAGAAATTCTCACTCGGTGGGTGGGGTGGGAGGGTGCTGCATAGTGGTGAGGGGTCCCAAGGCAGGTCCCGCCGGCCGAAGCTGGACCTTTAGCCCTTCCAAATGGTGCAGAGAACCTGCTGCCCCCGCAAGACCACTGGGGGCACGGCGATCATCACCCTGCCGCTGCACAGCAGCCCTGGCAAGACGCTTGTCACAGTGACTCTGAAGAACTTAAAATTGTCTGCTTATAATTGGTAGTTAGTTTTCATTTTGAAATAAGAAAATTGCTAGTTCTGAAATAAAATCAGTTCAAAGATTAACAAAAGAGACTGCTTTACATAAGCACTTGATAAATGTTTACAGCTACAAACTATTTTGACACTTCCTTTCTAGAACATAATCAGAACTGAGCAGCTGACCTATGTAAACAGCATGATCATGAGTTAGGAGAGGGTGGCGAACCTACGGCACGCGTGCCACAGCAGGCCATTTGTTCCCACTGAAAACTCTCCAAGGTTTGCCATCGCTAAGTCAGAGCAGTGGTGTCAGTCTTAACATTTCTGCCCAGTGACTCTGGGTAATGCGTGCTCTTCCCAGCTCAGCTGCTAACTGCTGTGCAACCTCTGTCACCCGGGGCCTCGGCGCCCTATCTCCTAACTGTAAGTGCAAAGGTCTGCATAATCTAGCACAAGTAATCTAAAGCAAGGACTGACCTTGTTTTTTCTAATGGAAAGGACAAGAAAGTAAATATTTTAGGTTTTGTGAGCCATGGAACACAAGGCAAAATCGAGATGTTACATACTATACGGAGGTACTTCTATAGCCACATAAGATGTGAACACTATTTGCTCTGGGGCCACATGAAAACAAAGGGCAGGCACGGCCTGACCACCTGGATGTTGCCAGCTCTCAGCCAAGGAGAAAACACGCCTGGAACATGACCTGCGGCAGCGGCACCAGCATCATTGCCCACATTGCCACCATTCCTGCTCTGAACGCGGCGTACACCCAGCCGCCCGGGGCGCACCTGGTTCTCTAGGTCAGCCTTCTTCTGTTTGTTCAGCTCCAGCGTATCCTGCAGCCGGGCCAGCTTGTCCTGCACGGCCTGTAGCGCCGCCTGCTTCTTCCGGAGCCCGTCCATGGCGATCTTCAGCTCCGCCTCGGCAGAAGCTAGCTTGATCTTTTTGGGAGCCACAATTTTTGCCACTCTGTGGAACAGGAAGATTGGAAAAATTAAATATTCATTTGACATGATGGGGTGTTTTCTGTCTCTAAATTTACTTTTTTTAAAAAAAAAATTTTATTTTATTTATGTGTGTGTGTGTGTGTGTGTGTGTGTGGCCAGCTCAGCCCACCAGGGGGCGGGGCTGGCTGGCATGTGGTGCTGGGGGATTGAACCGCGGTCCCTGTGCTTTGCTAAGCTTGTTCCAAGTAGGTGCCTTAGACCACTGAGCCATCTCACCAGCCCCTAAATTTACTTTTCTTATATCCTTTGCTATGACTTAAATCATTTCTTTCTGCAGAACCTACTCTGATTTCAATATTCCATAGTTTACCCAAGAATCAAACCTGGGTACTTCCCAGACATGGGAAATAACTCTCACAGTAGTTATCAAATACATGCAATGTTTTCAAACAAATAACTTTCCTCTTCATGTTGCAAATACTGCCAGAGTGAATTTCTTTGATTTTGCAAAAGGAGAAACAAACATGCACACAGAATATTACACTGTCAAACTGCAGCTTAGTCAGTGAGAGCTTACTTCTGATAAAGATTAAGCGAAGTATTTAATCTTTATCATTTTACCTTTTAGTAAAATTCCTAGATTGTTCACTCAAGCAAAACAGTTATCTTATCATTATGTATGTGCTGATAAAGGGAATTATGTAGGGAAATGGATGGATCTACATTTTCTTTTCAGGATCTAGAAAATGCAGTCATATCCTTCTGCATAAATGATACAAAATTAAATTAAAATTCACTAATAATATATCATGGTCTGAAGCAAACGTAGTATGTAAGGATTTAAATCGGGTGTGACTGTGAAAGGTGCGCTGTAACAGCTGCGCTTCGGAAACTCACCCCGCGCTCTTTCTGCATGTGGCAGGTGGCTCACACACAGTCCACAAGAAGGTTCCCCAGCGTACAAGAACGCGCGCTAAGCCGGTGGCGCTCAGAGCGCGGCGGGGAGACCGCAGACAGCGCTCCTCAGGCTGCCCGTAAGGGCGCCCCTGGGCCTCCCCGACCCTGGGCGGATTTCCTTAATGTACTTCCAGCCCGAGCGCCTAACGTCACCCTGCAACAGGTGGGGAGAGGCAGGCAGGGGTCCGGCTGTTACAGACTCGGAAAAGTACCATGAAATAACACTTTCTCACACCTGTTTTTCTTTTTTTGGTGGGGCGGGGAGGAGTGGAGGGTAAAAACCTAAATTTCAAAATAAACATTTGTAAAATTCTCCATTTTACTTTCTAACATGGGGAAATAATCAAAAGCCTCACGCACTTGTCGTAGGAGTCCATCGCGATCACCCACTTGCACAGCCCCTCCGCAGCTGTGGAGGCGTTTCTGATCTTTTCTGGAACAAAATCGGGATTGGGGATGTAATTCTTTCTGATGATGTTCATGTACGCGGGAGGGATGTTGTCCTTGTCATACTCATGCAGCGACTGCAGGAACCGGATGTCCCCAAGCAGCCTCTTAGCTGGGCCCCAGAAATCCTCTATTTTCTTCCCGGAACCTGTTGGGTCAGGGATTTTGTCTGCTTTGATGCCTTTCAAGATGCAGATCGCTTCCATGACGAGCTTCACGCCCGCCGGAGGGCTCTTCATGGACTTCACCACGGTGATATCCTGGAAACAAGCACACCGCACCGTGAAGAGACGCGTGGGCTTGCACGCCGGTGCTCACGTGAGACGCACTGTGAAGAGACGCGTGGGCTTGCACGCCGGCGCTCAGTGAGACGCGCCGTGAAGAGACGCG